GCGAAAAGCAGAACTGGGAGGAAAGTGGTTTTTAGTTTCACTGTTTCTAATTTTGCTTTCAAGTGTGTTTACCCTTCATGTTTGGCAGTTAGGTTGTTGTTTGGTTTGTTGTCTATTGGAAACAAGTCAAAACGCAAATGTGATTTCCTAAGCAGTTTTTGCCGGCTATTTATTTGTTTTGTAAATCCTTGACTCGCCAGGCGATATCTAAAACTCGGCAGCCAAACTGGTGATCGTCACATCACCTCACTACTACAACTCTGCTGCTGGTTATTTAAAGCAATTGAACAGCCTCAAGGAGGTCTCAACATACGTAGTGTAGGAACACTTAGTTGATTGCCAGTTTTCCTCTTCTCAATCATCTTAGCGACGGGGCAAATTATGTTCAATGGTCTTTTTGTTTTGTTTTATGTTACTGCTGCTGCTGCTGCTGTAAAATGTCTCATTGAGATTAGAAACATTTAAAAATACATGACAACCAAATAAGTGTTACTGACTGCATAAACTGAATGTTTACTTTAACAATTAAACTTAAAACTACTTTTTTCATTTTGAACCACAAAACAGTAAAGCGCAGTTTTCCAGAAAAGATTAATTAAACAGCACTTTAGATTGGGATTTTCCTTTGATAAAAACAATGACGCCTGATTTAAATAATAATAACTTGTAATCAACTTGATTTTAAAGATCCGGGATCTTTAACATATGCACAGTATTTCTAATCTCAAAACTGGATAAAACACGATAGACAATGCTGTAACTGCTGCTAATAAATGCCAATATTTATTTTATTTTACTAATCGATGGTACTTGTAGACTTGTCACCTGACTGTACCGATTTTGTACGACGGGTTTAAGATAATTGCAAAAACAAATGTTTGCTATGCAAACACAGCCGATGAACATTTAGGAACATCAAATTCAGGTAGTACAACATATTCTTCACTGACTCTCGGCAAGGTAGTGCGCACAGGCAGCACCGCCATTGCCCAGACATTTGACCACAGACAAACACTGAATCTGACTTTCATGTGTGTACATGCAGTGATTGGTAGTGTCAGCACAGGTGTTGGTCCACTCGGGGCCCATGCAAATGAGGAAGGCCATGCCTGACTGGCCGTACTTTGCTAAGAAGGTCGAGTATAGGGGCGAGACGGCGGGAGGCAGACCGAAACAGTATTCACCGGCGTTTCGGTGATCATCAAAGGGCACTTTTCGGAAGGCAACTGCGCCGCTGACAGCCACGGCCAGCAGAAAAACAGTAATAAAAGCTAAAAGAACTTGGATAAATGAAATGTTAAAAAATTCATTTTTTGTTTACCTTTCATTTTCTTGATTGAACAAGCTAAGATGTATTATTTTCGATGGAATTGCTATCTGATACTTTGAAAATAGACAAACATTTGTCTTTTATAATACAGAGGACAAAAATTATTGCAAAGAAAATAGCTTCATTGTCAAGGAGCTTATTTCTGGTGAACACTTTTTAACCGTACATCACCGTTGCCTTATTGTTTTTTTTCTGTTTTATTAAAAAACTACAGTTATTATAATAAAATCAATTATATGTGCATAAAGCGGTAGAGTAAAAAAGTTTAAATTTAGAAAGCAGCTGCCAGAGCAAACAAACAAAAGAGGCAGGCAGGTAGGCAGAATATAATGCAAACAAATAGGAGACCCCGCCAGAGCTCTTGCCAATTTGGTGCAGCGCAGTCTGTTGTAATGCAATGAAGGCGAAAAGAGCTGTGTGTGTGCTGGCTGGGGAGTGTCACTTTGAGTGAGAACCACTGGAGCCGCTTGAACCGCTGGCACCGCTTGAAGCACTTCCGCCGCTGGAGCCACTAGCACCACTGGAGCTGCCTTTGGAGGATGATCCACCGTGGCTGGAGGATCCGCCATGACTGCTGCTCCCACCTCCCGACTTGCTGCCCGCCGAGGAGCCGCCTTTTGAGGAGCTGCCCCCACCCGAGGAGCTGCCACCTTTGGAGGAACCCGATGAGCCGAGTGAGGTCTTGCTGCCGCTGTGGCGACTGCCCGATTTGCTGCCCGAGGCGCCCGAGCCCGCCGACTTGCTGCCGCGCGATCCAGAGAAGCCTGATCCAGAGGCAGCCGACGACCCGGACCCGGATCCGTGGCTGCCACTGCCACTCATGCCAGAACCGGAACCGGACGGGTGCGAGCCGGAGGCGCCCGACGCCATGGAGCCACTCGCCGGACGACTGCCGCTGCCTGCCTGCGAGCCGGACGGATGAGAGCCAGAGGCGGCAGATCCGGACGCCGGGCGACTGCCACCTGCTCCGCTCATGGGAACAGCCGAACCGGAGGCACGCGAACCCGAGCCGGCGGCCGAGCTGCCCGAGACGTAGTTGCTGCTTCCGGCGGCCGAACCGGAAGCCTTTGAGCCCGAGCGGACGGCACTGGAGCCGGAGACGTAGTTGCTGTTGGCGGCGGCACTGCCGCTGTGCGATCCACTGGCGCTGGCCGTCGGGTCCAGTTCGTTGTCCGTCAGCACCTGACAGCGCTCGAAGACCTTTGAGCCAAAGCGGGTGTCGATGCTGTCGGCGATCGGTCCAGCGGAGGTGGTGCGCGCCCCTGAACCGGAAGCACGGGAGGCGGACTTGGGTCCACCGCCAGCAGCACTTCCGCCGGCAGCACTGCCACCGGCGCCCGATCCAGCAGCTGACCCAGCAGGGGCGCCCGAAGACTTGCCACTGACGGCAGTGCCCGACTTGCTTTTGCGAGTGCCACTAAAGGAGGACGACCCGGGACGGCTGCCCGAGGGGGTGCGGCTGCCGCTTCCACTTCCACTCGGAGAGGCGCTGCTGCCTCCTTTAGAGCTGGAAGAGTGGGCTGAAGAAGAGGAGCCGCCATGCGAAGAGCTGCCATGAGAGGAACTGCCACCGTGCGATGAGGAGCCACCACCCGAGCTGCCCGAGTGCGCCGATCCCGAGGAGCCAGAGTGTCCTGATGAACTTCCGCTTGCTCCTGAAGAGCCCGAGGCGCCCGACGAGTGACCGGACGAGCTGCCAGCGCCTGAACTGTGGGCGGATCCCGAAGAGCCGGAGGCACCGCTGCTGCCTGACTTGCTGCCTGATGACGCACCTGAAGAGCCTCCGCTTTTCTTGCTTGAAGACATGTCCGCTTCTTCTTCTTCTTCCTGGTCAGACGAGATGAGATGCTCTGCTTCTCTCTGAGATGTGAATTGTCTCTGATGACGACTGTGAAATTAAGACGAGGAAAAGTAGCAGTGAAGTGACTGAAAGCAACTGAGACTACGACAACAACAGCAAACCTAGAGAAGAAGAAGTCACACTCAGCAAAGCGGTTTCATCTTATGCTGACTGGTGTGACTTGGATTTCGAATTTCGGTCACTTTTTGAACATTTTAAGTTGAACACGTGTAACAAAGAAGTACTCTTTTTTTGTTTATGTTCAATCAACACAGCTTTTATTTATTGAGGACTACTACTAACTGGTGCGCTGCTGTCAGTACTGCTGCTGCCGGTTACTGCTGAAACGGATGGACTGATTTTGAGTTTTGTCTGATGATATTTGAAGGTGGCTGTTGCTGCTGCTGAACTACTGTTTGGAGCTCTTCCAGCAGCCGCAGCACTGGACGGCGCAGTTGATGGTAAAGGCGGCACATTGGTGCGTAGGGTCGATCCTTGCATTCCTTTTTCAACTGAGGAAACTGCTGCTGCTGCTGTGGAAAAGCCTTGAGGGGTGAGGGGGACTTCGGGAGGCGATTCAGTTGCGGCCACTGCCGATGCGACCACCTCACCACCGCCGCCGCCGCTGCTGCGGCTGCTGGGAACTACAGACGAGGGCGCTCGCAAGTTTGCCAAAGTCTGTTTTGTTGTTTGTTTTGTGGGCTGCTGCTGGGTTCCCTCTTTTCTGACTGCGCCGGAAACGACTGAAAAACTATTCTTGCTGGGGGCAATGCTCGATGCAAGTCGGTTGGCTGATGCTGGACGAGGTGGTGGTGATGTCTTCTTTTTCTGGTTTGCCTTGCTTGGTTTCCCCTTTCCCTTGACGGTGACTAGCTCGCCTCGCTGGACTTCCCTTGTGGTGGCGATGGTGCTGTCTGACTGCTCATTATCATCATCATCAGTTGATGCCGTCGCCGCCACCTTTCTTCGAATCGCCTGTTTCCCGGGCTGCTTGTTCATCGGACTGTTCTTCTTCTTCGGCTGCTTTGGTTCGACCAGTGATGAGAGCAGCTTTACTCGCTTCAAGTCCACTGATGAGTTGAGGTTGAAGACTGAAGAAAAGGTTCGCTCCTGTTTTCCCTTTCCTCCTTCTCCTTTTTCTGCTCCACTTTCGTTGATTCCCTTTATTCTCTTGCTAATCTTTGCCGTTGAGAGTATCGTTGAGCCCAGAGAACTTCGTTGCCCTGCCAGCTTTGATGGCCATTCAACACTACTTTTCTTGGCGTCACCTTTCAGCCGACTTCCTTTCCCCCTTTTCCCATCAATCTTTTCATCATTGCTCTTTTGGCCACCTTCATCCAAGTTCTCCTCATCAGAGTGCCTCCAGTGGTAGTGGTAGTAGTAGGCGCCTCCAAGGACCAGCAAAACTAGAGCAATGCAGCTCAGAGTAAAAGACGGGTTACCAAAGATGGCAGCAGATCCTTTGGTGGTAGGGGCAAACTTAGGCGGCGGTGTCACCGTTGCTCTTTTGAGCAACTGAGAGACGTTTGACACATACAATACGCCGCCCAGTATGCCACCAATAATCCCGACTGCCATGGGTATTTTGCATTTTGAACCTATGGTTAAGAAAAAAAATAAATTAATGAGTGAGTGAGTGAGACGGCAGTGAGATGCAAATTTAATCTGGCCAATCTCTTACCAACCCGTTTCTTGCTGGTGAGCATCAGCACGCTCTTTGTCGTTGTCGTGAAGATCTTCTTGTCCAGCGGCCGGTGATGCTGCTGGGGATGGTGCTGTTGCCGGTGAAAGAGCACCAGGTAGAGGAGCACCTTGACTCGGGCAGTGTACAGGGCAATGTACGCTTTTTCAGTTTTCGCGTAACTCGGGGACTGCTTTACACCTCCCTGCTTAATGATCTGCCTTCTGCGGACGCAGTTTCGCAGCACACACAACCAGACGATCTCATCGACGATCTCCGCCAGGCGCACACTGAAGGTACTTTCCTGATTGTTGGAGCTGGAAACCTTTCTCACCACCTGGGAGGGCTTCAGTTGCCGCAGTGGTGCCGTATTTCGAAAGAGCACGTCAATGACAGGCGGGGTGAAGCCGTCCGACGAGAGGAAGGTGATCACCGTTTTGTCCTCTACCCGAAATGGTTTCTCCGCCAGCTTTTCCAGAAATTTGCTCATCTTTTGTTGTACTTTGCCGTTTGTTTTAGAAAAGCCATCGCTGAAACGTTCACCGTCGGCCAGTTTTACTTTGACCAGCAAATCTTCAAAGTTCCGGGCAATAGTCTTCCTGGAGGGTTGAGTCTTTCTAGGGTGCTTTCTCTGAGTGGCCGCCTCCAGTCTTTGGTTGCCTTCAAAGGTTCTTAGCAGAGTCTCCATCAGTCTGTTCAGCTCTGGCTCTTTTCCGAGATATCCGCTGACGTGGTTGTCAAACTTCAGCACCAGAGGATTTAGAAGGCTGGTATCGGCCTTAAGCGTCTCAATGTTTGCGCCTTTGCTGTAGTAGTCAGTGAAGAGGTGGGCGTATTTGGGTGGCTTAGGGAAGGACATGCTGGTGATCAGGTGAAAACAAGTGCAGAGGTGCAAAAACAGGCGAAGAAACAGGAGAGGCGCTGCTACTTTCATTTCAAGACAGGACTTTTTGGAAACAAGTGAGATTGAGATGGGTAAGTGCACTTACTAAGTGCAGAAAGAGTGGTGAATCACTAAAACAAAAGTGTAAGTTGGCTTTTTATGCTCAAATCGTTCAAAGGAATTTTTTTATGTTGTCCATTGTTGCTACTAGCTAAATAGCATCATTTTTCTCGCTTCTGAAAGATCATCATAAAGAGCAGTCCTGCGTAAGAGAATAACTGAAAGGCAAAAACTGCAATGTTATGCACCAGTAAACTCATTTTCACCCGGTTCCCGCCTTACCATCTCAAACATCTTCGAGTTGATGCTGTAGTTGTTGAGCAGTTTGAAGCCAACAGAAAACACTCCGGCGTAGTTGGCCGTTAAACCGTCTACTTTGAGCAACTCGGCGAGACTGAACCGGCGCTTCAGGTGCGAGTGAAAGACAATGGCCGTCCGCTGTGCCGTCCGGTGCAGTCGGCAGTTGCCGTACACTAGCAGCGAACACTGCCAGGTAATCAACACGAGAATGGCAAAAAAAGCGAGGCCAAAGGTGCGAAAGAAGGCGCGCTCTAGCAGGCGGAGCTGGCCATCCGGCGTGAAGATGGAGAGGTAGGTGAAGTTGAAGCTGAGCAGCACGTAGGAGAGGTAGTTCACGGTGAGGTACTTCGCCCAGAAGCCCTGGTGAGCGCCGATCTCCTCGAAGAGGGCACCCATCTGATCCACTATCAGCTGGTACTTCCGCCACAGGAGGTGGTACTGCTGCTGAAGGCGGTTGTTTGGTTCGTTTTCAGGTTGATGTTGGTGTTGTTGTTGTTGGAGGTGCTGCTGGTGACTGAACCGACGGGTGAAGGGCAGGCGGACGATTCGAGTCCACAGCTGTCGAAATTGCGTCATTCGGTGGCGCTGCTTGATGCGAATGTAGCCGGCAGTCAGGCAGAAGTTGATGATCAGGTTGATGTTGCCTGCAAAAGGAAGAAAAGTGGTCTGGGAATTAAGTGTTTTTTTCTCCTTTTTAATCCTCACTGTCAGTTGAGTAGGCAATGAAGAGGTTGGTGGCCAGGAGGAGGAGGTGGTCGTGCAGGCTACCAGTCCACTGGGTGACGTGAAAGAAACTGCAGAAGCCGTCAATGGCCAGAAAGGAGAAGAGGACATTGGCCAGCAGCAGTGGGCGAACCTTCCGGCGGAAGGCCACGATTTGATGGCTTTCAACACGAGACAGCAGTCGGCCGTTCTGCACAATCTCGCCAAATCCCTTTTCTCTTTCTCCTCCATCCTCTGTGCTCAGCAGCAGAAGGTACATCGTGTACTTGCCGGTGAGCCGGTCAGTGAACAGACAGCCAAAGATGAGGGCGGTCATAAGGATGATCAGCAGGACACTGCCGTCGGTGACTGGCCAGAGGACGCGCGGGAAGATGAGGTGGAACCACAGGGAGGCGTTGGAATGCAGCTCAAGGTGATTCGAAGATGCGATGATCAGAGTGTCGACGATGATGTACAGCACCACCAGGTTTGGAACACAGTAGTGGACGTTTATTGAACTGACTAGTTTACTCCAAATCGGATTATTCTCCTCATTCCACAGTCCACTTTTTTCCACTTTGTGGCGACTGCCATTTTCTCCCAACAGTTCCCGCCTGCTGACACCGTACAACTGTGAATCTTTGACTGCATCCAAGTCGTAGTAGAGAATGCGAATGTGATTTGAAAAGACGCTGCTAAGGCCTTTCAAAATATGAACAACAGAAATGTGACTGTGAAATCGTTGCATGATTATTTTGTTATATTTTAGTTACACAAAAAGTTTGACTGTTTTATTTGACATTTTGTTAAACAATTTTAGTATGTGTTTTTAGCTTTATGAAGTTGTCAAAACTTACTAAAATAAATTTTAGCTTTCTGAGAACTCTCTTATATCAATTATGTTCATTTGATAATTTTTAATTATTTTAACGATTTTTTAAAGTACACTTTGACTACGAGTAGATCATTACTCACAAACGGGCAAATTGCTGAACTGAGTCTGGCCTAATAATTAAGCTTTTTTTTCAAATAGAAGTTATAAATTATAAATCAATTGATTGAACGCAAAAGCATTTTTTAAATGAAGATTTAAAAATAATTTCAAGTTTTTGTTTTCAACGGAAACGGTAGGAAACGGTATCACAAATGCAATCAAACAATCAAAAACAAAAAAAATAATTGCGATTTTAAACAAGTAGCAATACAAACAATATCATTATTAATGAGGGCGATAAGATGTGGTCCACTTTAAGGTGGTCCGTTTGTGTGATGACGATGAAACAATTTAGCCATTTAAATGCCATCCTAAGTGGTAGAAAGGTGCTTACTCGTCTGTTGTTGTCTGTCTGTTGTCAACCTGCACGTTCTAGCAAACAAAAACATGGCAAAGCTGTCCTTCTTCATTTTTCTCGCCAGTTTGGCACTGGTGACAGTGACCCTGGCCGCCGACTCCACCGACACGACTGTGATCGCCGACCTGATCAAGCGCGGTGACGCCATCATCGCCAGGGCCAGGACCGACCTGAAGAACCTGCAGTCGAAGCAGTCGTACTTTGTGCAGCCACTCGAAGATGAGATCCACAAGGTGGAGGTCTTCCTGCGGGAGATTGAGAAGCTGGCCAAAGAGAACAAGCTGCCGGCGACGCAGCTCGGTCTGGTGGAGGCGCGTCTGCTGCGCTACGAAAATGACCTGCTCACCATTCTGCTGATCGAGGAGGAGGCCGCCAAGGACCTCACCTTCACTACGCTGGTGCAGATGGTAGAAAAGCTGCTGAACAGGGCCTATGCCGACCTAGGCAAGCTGGTCACCGACCAGGGGGCCGAGCACCGACTGGTCTTTGCCATCAGAGCGGAGATCATCGCCCTCCGAGCCACTGAGGATGAGGTGAAGCGCCTGAACGCAGGCCACCCCGAAGAGAAGACCATCGCCGCGGTGGAGAAGCTGCTCAAGCACGAGACAGCTCTTGAAAATCTGCTCTTCCTGGCGGAGCACGAGTCCATTCTCAACCCCAAGTTTTAGAGTGTTTATCAGTTGACCATTTCTCCCTTTTTAATAAAATGAGATTGCATATTTTTGCTCTTGTTTTTTGCTATAGCAGTTGTTGATTGAACGTTGAGAACATCATATCTCCGTTTTTGCCTCACAGATGGAACCTTTGTTGTGGTGGTTGAAACTGGAAAAAAACTTTAGTTTTTTTGCAACTACTAAACTACAAACTGCATCTAAAAGTACTATTTTTAGACGCCGCTAAATTAACTTAATGAAAACTGGTGGCCACTAACTGGTGGTCAGTAATTAGCGCAAGTGGCGCAGGAATGTCTAGACTACATTAGTTTTTTCATGTCGAAATTTTTGCTGCTACTGATTAAGTTATTATAAAAATGTTTCAAACTACTTTTGTGCACACTAGCGATAATTGCAATTAGGCGTAATCAGCCACTGGTTGGCTGGCTGGCTGGCTGGCTGGTTGATTAGCCGTCACAAGGACGACATGTGCTCTATCCTTGACAGTCATTAATTTTATATCAAGTTGATAATGAGAAAATC